AGATAGACTTGCACGCAGCAGGTGGCCTGACAAGAAGTCCCCATCAACGCGTGTTAGGAAATCAATCTAGGCATTAGAACAGAACAAGACTCCACACAAACCTACCGGCCTTGGTGGGACGCGGTCACCGAGATGGTACCTCAGCAACGAACAGTTTTATGGACTCCAAGATGGACCGGAAAGGACTAAACTACGTGGTTGGGTATCAAGTTTTCTTCAGCCGCTGTCGTCAGAGCCCCTCGTCTACTTTGTGCCTCTGCTCCTCGTGACGATTACCAATGCCCACGGGGATGTCAGAAGTAGGGAATACATACGAGAGAGGGTGCGTGAAGAACTGCAGTCACCAACCAACGTCGACGGTGCAGGTTTCTCACGAAATCAGCCAAATTGCTGAACTTAGCTGGCCCCAAATCATCGGTGTGCTATTTCTCGCCTTGGCACCCCAAAATATGCACAAGTGTGTCAGCAAATTATAGCAGACAGGGTGTTGCTCATGCACTCGAGTCAGTCAGCCGGCCCCAGTCCGTACGAGACGAGGCAGTGGTTCCCCGCCCAGGTTCGTGTGAAAGACGAACCAATCAGCATGCACAAGTTTGGAAATGCTGGTGGCGGTGCCGTTACTAACTTCGAGTTACGACGAGCATGGAAGCTTCGGAACTGGTCTTAACAGTAGGCTATTGAATTAGCGTAACTAACCCCCCCGGAGACAAATGCCTACAGGAAGCTTAGACTGCGCAAAAGCCAGAACAAGATACGAAGTGCCCACGTCAATGGGAGTCAATGAATTCCTGGGCTAATGGGTTCGCGCCTCCTGTGTGGCTCATTTTGGTTCTTAAAATAGGCTACGCGGTAGAGGGACAGCGGGGTCAGATCAGGGCACGGCAGGCGTTATTTGGGGATGCACACCCATAAAAAGAATACCACAAAGAATGGTGTAGTGGTACGCCTGGGCGCGGGCTTGCGTCGCGCCAGTTGCCTATGCCCGGCTCAGTTCTCCTTGACTCTGCCGTAACATCAAAAGCATGCGGGCGAGGGAGGAGAGAATGCAGTAGATGATGCGCAGGCCGTCACGCCTACACCGAACATTCTGCGCGGTACACCGTGGACATCGTCAAAATCGACGGCCCATTTAACTCCAAAGCACGTTTCGATATTGAAAATAGGCCACGTGGCCACCACTGGAGCTTACGTGAGCACTTTTTTCTGACCACTGTAAGAAAATACCTGCCCATGGCTAGATTAAATCCTACAATTTGTTGTTCGCATTTCCAGCGAACGCACTATTTGAAATATAGCCCGGCTCGGTGTGACCTGCTTGCCGCGTGCGAGGCCCAATTTTCGTCAGAGTTCAAGCTATGGCTGTTACAACCGGTTACATTTCAGACTAAGCACTAACCGCAAGCCCATTTACAGAGAACAGCGGCAGTCGCTTCCAGCCTACGTGCAGTCAGGATTAAACGGTGCTCCAACTAGATTAGCCACACAC